ATATTACAGGGATACGAATGTTCTGGTTACATAAATTGCTTTTATACAATTTGAGTCCCAGTTGTTAAGTGCGTCCCTTACCTAGACAGTGTATCTGTCAGGTGTGAATTTACCCCTCTTCCCCGACCCCTCCCACCTGCTTGTTTTTTGTTGAGTTTCACTACCAAATGTGCACACAGGTGTTGATCAATTAGTTACAATTTAATAGTAAGTACATATGGTGTTTGTTTTTCCATTCTTGAAAAACTTCACTTAGAAAAATGGTCTCTGGTTCCATCCAGGTTGTTACAAAGATATTAGTTTACCAAGTTTTTTTTATTGCTGAGTAGTATGCCAAGATATACATACATCACATTTTACTAATCCACTCATGTATAGATGGGCACTTGGGTTATAGCCAATACAGCCAAAATATTGTCACCTTTGCATTGTTAACTGTACTAGAATATGCATGTATCTTTTTGATAAAATGGATAAATGGGTAAATGGATCAAATGGTAGGTCTACTTTTAGTTCTCTGAGTTATCTTCCTATGACTATCCAGAAGCTGTACTAGTTTGCAGTCCTACCAACAGTGTCTTAAGTTTTCCTTTCTCTTTGCATTCATGCCAACATCTGTTGTTTTAGAATTTTTTGATAAAAGCCATTCTCGTTGGAGTTAAGTGATACCTCATCGTGGTTTTGATTTGCATTTCCATGATTAGAGACATTGATCATTTTTCATATATTTATTGGTCATTAGTCTATCTTCTTTTGAAAAGCTTCTGTTCATCCACAACAACAACAAAAAAAGCTTCTGTTCATATCTTTAGCCCATGTTCTTATAGGATTGATCAAATTTTTTCTTTCTGGTTTGCCTGAATGAATGCTTTATACTAACTCTATCTCAAATAAACTCTCACTTAAGTTTAGTTCCACTGTATTAAGTCTGATTCAGATCACATAGATTAGCCTTTTACAATAAAAATATAATTCAGGCATGTATGTAATTTTACAACTCCTCATTGTCACATTAAAATAAATGAAACAGATAAAATTAAAATTTTGATAATACATTTTCTTTAACCCAATATAGCCAAAATATTGTCATTTCACCATATAGCCAACATAAAAAAAATTTGATATTTTACTTTCTTTTCATACTAAGTCTTTAGAATTTAGTACGTATTTTATAATTATGGCAGACTAGCCACACTGTGTAACACAAACCCTACACCACCAGTGGTTTCTCAACTCTAGCTGTATATCAGAACCATTTTCCATTTACTCAATTTAGCATCAGTAAATAAAACAGACATCTAGTATGGAACGCGTTTTTCTCTATTGTTAAACCATGCCTTTGGTGTACAAGACCATTCCAATCGGGTCCTAATCACCTCTTCAGTCTTCCCTTTCACAGCCACATGCTCACATGCTATAATTCGTACGCCCTAGGCACACAGCTTCAGTTTCTCAAACACATTAGTCCTTCGACACTACATACATATAGTTATGGTATTGAGCTTTTCCTCTTCTCTCCCTTCACTCCACTTATCCTTCAACACCCAGTGTGAATATCATTTTCACCTGTGAAGAAGTCCTGGTTCTCTAGGCAATTACTTATTTTAACCATCGTGCACTTTGCTTGTATCTCTCTGATATACTACCAATGTAGTATAATTTATACACTTAAAATTTGTCTTCCACAACATCAGCAGTTATCAACCTCATAATTCAGATACACTGGAGTTGACATCAGTGACAGAGAAGGGGTAGAATTAATTTGCTGAAAATCACATGTATTTTATTGCAGCCTACGATACTATACTATGGTTGCCCTTACCTAAAATAATCGTGACCTTCCCATAGAAATGCACTACATGAAGGCACATGCGTTACATCATAGAAATGATCATAGAAATAATCAGTACCTACTAATCTGTCATATACCAGATCCAAAATAATCCTAGCTAAATAGCAGTTTTCCCTAAGTTTGGATAGTGAACTTAAAATCCTGTCCATTCTTGAAACTTGTGACTCTATTCCTTAAGTATGCATGAAGCTCAATATCTTTGAGGGCTTTCTCATTTCAGGAAAGCAAGAATCAAGCTTTAAATTTCTTCACGAAATGCCAACTCTTCTGTGCACTAACTTAATTTGATAAACATAAAAATCTTTATGATAAACAATACACTTACATTTAAGTATCTGTAAAAATACTAATGTTCATCTCCCCTTAAGAGCCTAAAGTCAATTTATATAAAAGAGAAAATGTTAAAAGCCATTTTAATACCAGTATACAAGTAGACCATTTATTCAGCAGTCATCATGGAAAAGTTAGTCATGTTACTTGTTTTACAAATATTTTCTTCACAGCAACAAAATGACATAGCCAGAACCTTCATTTCACAGATAAGGAGACTGACAGAGATTAACAATTCCTAAAAGCAGCAGTATGTTCAGAATATGAATTCCACATGTCTATCCTTTACACCAATTACAGTTCAGTGAGTGGTGCGCTAAAGTCTCTTTGTAACGACTTACAAGAGCTGACTTAAATTTTTAGGAATTGTGAAAGTCACTGTTAAACACAGACATGTTTAAGAATTGAATTATAAACAAATAAATTGTATTTTTAAAAACAAAGGTAACATCACTCAGATCTCACTTCTTAAGTATTAAGTACATTTTATGCCTGAAGTTATATTTTGTGTGTATGTGTATAACATGTACTTGGAACACTACGCATACATCTATTTTTAAAATGGTGTAATACTTAGCATCTCTTCCCAACTGGGCAACCATCAGTGGTTATCTCTTTGACAACTTGAAACTGCCAGCTGAGAACCACTATTTAAGATTTCTAAAATTATTATAACACACCAAACATTAGAAACCTACCTAAAATGGCATTACTTTAGGTGCCCAAAAGTAAGTCTCTACAAAATTACAACATATTTATCATGGGTCAAAAATAAAGCTTCTATATATTTTAAATGATCAAAGAAGTTGCTCCTTATACAATTCAATAACTTTCATAAAAAACTAATATGGGACAACTGGATAGCCATATTTAAAACATAAGGCTAGACCCTAACTTCATATCATAAATAAAAATGAGCTCAAAATATATCAAAGATTTAAATATGAGAGCTGAAACTATAAAATTCTTTGAAGAAAACATAAGTGTAAATCTTTATGACCTTAAACAATAGTTTCCTAGATGACACCAAAAGCACAAGCAACAATAACAAAAGGATAGGTTGTATTTCATTGAATTAAAAACTTCGGTGCTTTAAAGGACACCATCGAGAATGTGAAGACAACTGTAGAATGGGGGAAAATATTTGCAAGTCATATACATGATGAAGGTCTTAGATCTAAAATAAAAGTAACTCTTACAACTCAATAAAAAAGGCAACCCAATTTAATAAATGGGCAAAGATGTGCAAAGAAAATATACAAATAGCCAATAAGCACATGAAAGGATGTTCAACATCATTAGCTACCAGAGAAATGCAGATCAAAACCACAACTACTTAATCATTTCACACCTACCAGGATGGCTATAATCAAAAAGGTAGTGTTGGTGAGGATGTGGAGAAACTGGAACCCTCACACACTGCTGTCAGAAATGTAAAATGGCACAGCTGCTTAAGGAAACAGTTTAGTAGTTACTCAAAAAGTTAAACATAGAGTTAAAATATAACTCAGCAATTCCAATATTGTATAACTCAGTATGTGTATAAGCTCAAGAGAAGTAAAAACATGTCCACACAAAAAAAGGGGGGGGGGAATCTGGTACATAAATGTTCATAGCAACATTATACATAAAAGCCAAAAGGTGGAAAAAGCCCAAATATCCATCAATTGATGAACTGATAAACAAAATGTAGTATATCAATACAATGTAGGACTTGGCAAAAATGAGAAATAAAATACCTATACATCCTACATTCTCTTAGGAATACTGAAACACTATGTTAAGTGAAAGAAACTATCACAAAAGATAACACATTTTACGATTTTATTTATGTGAAATGTACAGGCTAGGTAATCTAGAGAAAGAAGAGGATTTAACGGTTGTCCACGCTTGGGGATCAGTGTAAAAATCGGAAGGTGAGTGCTTTGAAGGGTATGGGGTTTCTTTATGGAGTGATGAAAATATTCTAAAATTGGCAGCACCTGTGGCTCAAAGGAGTAGGGCACCAGCCCCATATGCCAGAGGTGGCGGGTTCAAACCCAGCCCTGGCCAAAAACTGCAAAAAAAAAAAAAAAAAAAAAAAAAAAAAAGAAAAAGAAAAAAAGAAAGGAAAATATTCTAAAATTAACTATGGTGATGGTGGCATGACTTTGTGAATATACAAAGAATACGAATGTGGATCCTTTGAATAGGTTAATTTTATGGTTGTGAAATATACCTCAATAAAGCCTTTATAAACATACATACACATATACACACAAAGGTATGATAAATTTCTCGAAAAGTAATAGCTTTGCATTTCTGACAAACACTTCTGTTTTCTTTTATTCAATGAACTGCATGATAAATTATATTTCTTTTGGCTTTACTGCCAACAAATTCACAGCTAAATTTTGTGGTCATATGTGCTTTCCTTTACCTAAGCTTTCTCATTCAGTCTTATTACTCCCACATTTTACTTGCATTGTTTTAATCTGTAAGTGTTCTACTATAAGCCACTTTAATCAGAAGCAGAATATGATGGCGCTGAATTCTGAAAATTTAAAATATATTTAGATACTCTTGACCCTCACCAGAGTACAAAAACCCTATTCAGTTCAGCTTGAGCTCTGCCAAGCAAGCTCTTTCATCTCATGAAGAACTAAAATAGTTTTCCCAAGAAACATTTTTCTCTAAATTATGTTATCCATATAGAATAATATAATGCTGTATTACATATTTACCATATATTTAGCACATAAGATAATATTTAAAATGAAAATGAAAACATAATGCACTATCGAAAAATTTAACTTTGTTTTGGGAAATTCACTCCTACCCTAACAGGTGAGGATGACTCCTCTGTATTTCTTTTCTGGGGCTCGGTGTCCACATCTTGGCGCTTGTTCTTCATTCTTTCTCTAAGATCCCCTGTAGGTCTTTCTGGTGACCTTTGAACCAAAACACAAAAACAAAAGAAAAAGCAAAACAAAACAACAACAAAAAAATCTATATTTATATAACATTTTCTAAGAACATATTTACAGAAATAATCTCACAAATCTCAACATAATTTTTCTAACTGTCCTTGGCTCCTAATTTTCTGAAAAATAATTAGTTTTGGCTTAAACATTAATATACAAAAAATATGAGTAACACACATTTTCTCCTAATACTAATCAAAATACGTACATTAAAATTCCATGGGATAACAGGTTCTAGTGATATGAATAAAAACTTAAGTGAAGTAAGAAAAAAAGAGTTAACAGGCTTGAACTGTTTTCGCATTAACCACAAAGGTAGTAGTAAGATGAAGTTTTAAACTACAAAGTTGCAGAATTAATCAGAGGCAGCAGCATAATCAACGACTGATAAAATACTTTATGTACCTAAGAATCAAAGCAAACATAGGAGTTTTATAATTTTTCTTAAATTTTAAATTATTTCAGAATACAGACAGTTAAAGGATTCAAAGCAAATTTTAGAACAGCAATTTTACTTTCTGTCATGGATTTTTTTATTAAAAGAAAAATACATAATTACCTTCAACAATGGTAATAGTACTAGAAATTTGATAACATACAGCTATATTTTCACATTTAGTGGGAAAAACAAAGGGAAGATGGAAAACATCCTAGCTCTAAGGAGTATTCTTGTCAAAGAAGGTAATAGAAATTAAGAAATGCTCTTTTCTCTTTGACCATCAAAAAGTACAGTATATATTAAACAATAAGAACAATTCACATTAATAGTCACATCTATTTCAAATAATCATTGATCAATCAATTCCTTCAACTTATCAATCATTAATACAAATCATATAATTAGTGAAGAAATCATTTGAGTTAATTCATGTTGAAGGATCATGCTAATATTTATAGGTGTATTTTAATAAATCTATGTTACATGTTTTAATAGCTGAAGCAAAATAAGAAACTGAAAACTCTCCTTAAGAACCACTATTTAAGTGTTTTAAATTAGAATTATGATGTACATGTAATTCCTATGTGGTCTAGTCTCCTTTGGATAATAAAACAGTTTTATCTTGACCTTGATTCTATCCTGAACAGCACCTAACAAAGAGAATGCTCTACACACAGGGAATGCTTAAATGAATGGCTTAAATGTTGTATATGTAAATAAGCATTTTCTAAAATGCACTGCTTTTTTCCCCATCTTTAAATCAAATTATGAACTGTATTTTCCCTCCCTACCAAAAAAATACACAAAAGTTATTAGATAGAAAAACATGAACAAAATAACAAAATTATAACAAAAATCCTTTATTCTAAGTCTAGTACTGAGTTTACTTTCTTCCTTTTTAGGTAAATTTTTCTACTTATTTTTCTCAAAACTATTTCTTATTTTAAAATTTTGAGTCACCTAATAATAGATTTCAAAGATAAATTAAAGCATATATTAAAGGTATGGTGCTAATATAAATAAACATTACAATTATTGAAATAATTTCCACAGGTGTGGATCTAAATGTGCATATATACAGTTAAACATACATGATAAAGACTAATTTTCCCACATTAACAGAAGTGACAAATGACAACCTACACACAAATAGAAGCATTTCGTAAAAAAATAAACTAAAATGTACAACAGTTAAGGTAATGAGAAGTTAGCCAATGCTATTTATTTGTTTATTTTGGAGGGGACTGAGTCTTACTTTGTCACCCTCAGTAGAGTGCTACGGTGTCACAGCTCACAGCAACCTCAAACTCTTGGGCTCAAGTTATCCTCTTGCTTTAGCCTCCCAAGTAGGTGGGACTACTCAATATCCCACCACAATACCTGGCTATTTTTTAGAGATGGCGTCTCACTGTTGACCTGTGAACCCAAGCAATCCACCCACCTCGGCCTCCCAGAGTGCTAAGATAAGGCGTTAGCCACCGCATCAGGCCTTTTTTTTTTTAATTTTTTTTTAAGTCAGCTAATGTTAAAGTTTGAATTTTTAATTCTGCTAAACCTCAAAATCTATCCACATACCAAAAACAAAAAAATTATCCAATAAAAAAAAAAAATCTCCAAATGCCAATATTCAGTTTACACTGTTGCTGTACTCAAGGCAATCAGCACACCCAATTTTATAACTAGGTAAATTATTTATTTATAATCAAGTTTAAATTACTTTGGTGACAATCTTTATGTTCTTATTTTTATTTATTTATTTTTTTTTGGTGACAGATTCTCTGTCACAGGCTAGAGTTCTGTGACGTCAGCCTACCTCATGGCAACCTCAAACTTCTGGGTTCAACCAACCCTCCTGCCTCAGTCTCCCAAGGCTAGGAGCAGGACTTGTGGCTAGGACTACAGGTGCCCACCACAGGGCTTGTTAATTTTTCTATTTTTTAGTGCAGATAAAGTCTCACTCTTGCCTGAGCAAGGTCTTAAACTAAGGTCTTAAACTCCTGAGCCCAAGGAATCCTCCTGTCTCAGCTTCCCAGAGTGCTAGGATTACAGGCATGAGCCACCACTCCTGACCTTTATGTGTATCTTTAAACATCAAAACAAAACCATCATGCAGGAACCAAAAGAAAAATAAAAGATCTTTATTAAACAAATTCAATTTAGCCACGTTTTTTAATAAGGCAGAATGATATTCTAAATAGGGAATACATTTATCACATATAAATATACATTTTCATTTATGCTAACATATTGTGATAGGATTTAGCAAATGTATTTCAACCTGCAGAATTTGTACAAGCTTTGAACTTAGAAAATCTCAAAAAGCTAAAATTATACCCTACTTAAATTTTAATGTTCTAAGAGTTAAAAATAGCCATCGTCAGTAAAAATAAATTTAGACACTATGCAATTCTGCGGTCTTAGGAAGCAATTTAATACATAATTTGGGGGGTAAGTAAGCCATATGCATATTACAAAAATATCTATTGTGCAAACAAATAAATATTGAACAAGTTAATTTTAAAGCAAACACTTTATTAATCTTGGAAATAACAAAAAGATCCTGTTGATCTTTGACTATTGATAAGATTAGCACCAAAATAGAAAGGCTGTCAAAATAAATGGTTATATTTCAGATTTTTACACTAAATTATAAAAACCACCTACTAAAAATATGTGAATAATTCAAAGTTCTCAGTTTACCTTCTATAATTGCTGCTATAACCTTTACCACGAGGTGAAGGGCCATGTACGAATCTACATGTGTTTCCATAGAGGCAGTTGCCAGTCTTCAGCCAGTTACGGCACTGTGTCTAAGAGACAGATATTACTATGTAAATTTCATATTTACTTCTAGGAAAAAAATGCTAGTGGGACAAAATTAAAAACAAATGCTACCAAAACTCCAGCTCATCTGTGCTGTATTACTCCCCAAATAAGAAAATAAGAGAAAAATATGAAAACCCATAAGCCCTATCACCTTTTTCACTCCTTTTTATAAAAAACATTTTAAAAAATTTATTTAACCGACATTCCTACTATAAAACAACCTGTTCACCTTTATAATACAAGCCAGAATTTCAACTACAGAATTCTAAGAGAACCCCTGCGACTATGCTAGCGACAACTCACCTCTGCTGTACTGCCAGTGCTGGGTCCAAGCCTCTCAAATACACTGGGTCTTCTGGATGTGCTATCAGATATGGTCTTGGTATTTTCCACTGTGACCTTCCTTCTAATTTTTGACATTTTGTACTACTTTAACCAAAAAAAGAGAGAGGCAAACTGTAAAATTCTTTACTTTTAAGTAACTGAGCCCAAACTTACAAGTAGATAAAACTATAGGTAACTCTGCAAAATTATAGGGGATTTTCCTTAGGAGAAAAGAAGCATAGGAGAGGTCACAGGCAAACAAAGATAAGGTACCTTCTAAAACAAGTCTTACTAATGAATTATGACAGCTGTGAAATCTGTTGTCTAGAATTATACTTCCTTTGTGGAGTGAACAAATATGATTTTACTCACACAGCAAAGTTTTCATAGCACAATCAACTTCAGAAAATATAGTATGAAATGTTTAGTTTGTAAGTTAGAAAAACTGCTTCAAAATTTAGTAACTATCCTTTAAGGAAAAGTTAGAGTGGGAAAAAAAAGGAAAATATAATTGATGAAATTTTTATTGACAGTAGAAATTATGTTTAATACAGTTTAAGTGACAACAGTTGTTATGTTCCAAAAAGCAGCTTGGGAGAAAAATGAATGCAACTTAAATATTTTCTTTGCCTTACAGAGGTCAAAGAAAAGCAATCTGGTCAAGGATCTTTTCTTCCCAGTAATTCAAAGAACAAACAAAACAAAATCTAATGTTGATAAAATGACTTTCTTGCAAAACAGGACAGGCTCAGAACTAGAAGTCAGGGTATCTCTAATCTATACTAAATTGACATAAAAGTGAAAGGTGCTAAAAGTAAAGAACACACTATTTTACCATTATTAGCAACAAGAAAAAAGGGAGGAAATTATAAAAATATTTTTAAGTAAATAAAACATTCAAAAACTAAAACTAATAGAACTAAAATTATATAATTTGGTAATTCAATTAGAAATACAAACATCAGATAATGGTATTATAATATTCATTAGAAAACAATATTAAATTATAGACCCAGATATAACCTTGAGCATACAATGCTGTAGGACAGAACTGCCTAACATGAGAAAGAAAAAAGAAAACTAAATTACATCACATTTAACACAATCTAAATACTAGTCGAAATCTTACTACTCATCAAAAATTACCAGAATAAACCATAGTAATTAAAAAAGCTTCATTTGGTGTAGAAGTGATCTCTATGAAGATCACAAATGCTCTTTGAAGTCACTTCAAAGTACAGACATGTTACTTGAAAGGAAATTAAACAAAATCAAAACAGCGACAATAAAACATTATAAATAATGTTTGATTCAGCTATGTACTTCTGATCCCATTTTTAAAAGGATCCAAAGAATGAGGATAACATTTGACAAATGAAAAAAGATGGGGAACCAAGAAAAGAACAATGTGAAATGATACAACATGGTAATTTCTGAACTGAAAAATCTATACTCTTCTTATTCATTAACATAAAATGTAATCACTCTTTTAACATAATAGCAATTAAAATCAAAGAAGTTAGAGAGTAACTTTAAAGTAATTACAAATTTCAAAATTAGTGTAGGGTGTAAAATAGATGAATGTGAATTTGCTGTGATACAAAATCACTTATGTATCAAGTGTTCTCCAAATAAATATCTATATACCAACTCTACACATTGATGGTAGCATTGTAAAATAATCTTTGATTTAATTTTTCTTAGACTTGTTCTCAGCCTACATGTGAACTTACAGGTGAAAAGCTGGTAAAATTTCTTACGCCCATTTGATTTACTGAACATAAAGAACTGAAAGTTAAAAGAAATGGAGCTGAGTAAGATCCAGAAAATGCATAGCTTTGATTAACTGAGAAAAATACTTTTTTACAATTTATATCTAAGCAAGATTCCATAAGAAGGAAATGCATAACAAAATACATAGAAAAGCTTTAGAGAAACACATATATTTCATTATATATTTGCCATAAATATTAACATACTAATATTTAGTATAATATTATATAATAGTATATAGTATAATAATAGTATAAGTATAATTCTCAACTATTCAATTTTTAAGCATTTCTTAAAAATATTCCTTAAAAACATTCCAAAATTCCTTATTAGCTAGTTATCTAGAACTTAGAAAATAGGCAAGCCATCCTATCCCCCTGCTTTAATTAGACTAACGCTAACCTGACATTTTCCCCTCCACTATCAATGGAAGTTAGGTAGTTCTGCCCACTAAGCACCTACCCCAAAGTGCCTTACTTACAACACTGTCCTTACAAAAAAAAAAGAAAAGAAAAAATCAATGGCAATGGTTTCCACAGTCAGGATAACAGGCTATTTATTATTATACTTTAAACATTAGTCATCCATCATCTCATTCTGAGAGTTCCAGCTATTCACTTTTCCTGCTCTGTCATCTGTTGCTTCGAGCAGCACTATTCTCCTCCCTTGAAAAGTTACTGCTATGCTGGAAAGCCTGGTCTCACAGCTCCTCTCCAATCTAGAACCCTCAAACAAGCTTTGAAGATTTCAAAGGATTTAGACTGATAAGGCAATCAAGTGAGGACTAATAATTCACAACCCTTGCCCTTACATCCTGGCCACAAAAAGCTGCTTTCCAGAAGGACAAAACTGCTTTTACAGGTAACATAAAGAACTATTCAAGATTCACCTGCATAGTGATTAGCCCAAGATTATCCCAAGAATTCTACTCCCAGCTACTACTGTTTAGTCTTCCAACTTAGGGAAGAAATGCAGTTGTATTCTCCTTTTTTCTCAGAGAATCAACAAGTACCAGACATTGCCCTAGGACACTGCATCTGAGTACAAGGTCTACCGTACAGAAGGGTCCTAAACAAAGTTTAATACACACACACACACACACACACACACAGGTCTGACAATTAAGTTCGAGAACTTGCCACTGTGCACTTACATTGGCAGAACTGTACCAAAAAACTCAGTATGGTTTTGTAACCTCGTTATATCAGCATAAAGAACTGAAAGTTAAAAGAAACGGAGCTGAGTAAGCTGTGTTCATGTTGAAGTGTGGTGTCTTGCTGTCATTCATTATTGACTGTTGCTGCACATTTTTGTGTGCTATCGCAAAAATATTAGAGCTTGAATTAGAACAAAACAAACATTAAATTTCTTGTTAAGGATGGCAAGAGTGGAATTGAAATCAAGGACATGTTAGTCCAAGTTTATGGGGATAATGTCATGAAGAAGATAGTAGCGTACACATGGCTTGAAAGCTTTCCTGAGGGGACAGAAAGCTTCACTGATGAACAGAGGTCAGGGCAGGCAGCCAGCCAGAAACAAGCAGAAGTGATGAAAACATTGCAAAAATCTATGTATTGCGCATCAAAATTATCGACCGACCATGTGAAAAGCATAGCAGACCAGTAAACATCAATAGAGAGACAGGAAAATCTTAACTGAAAATCTTGGAATGAGGCCCAGTGGGGTGGCTCAAACCTGTAATCCCAGCACTCTGGGAGGCCAAGGCAGGTGGATTGCCTGAGCTCACAAGTTCAAGATCATCTCTTAAAAAAAAAGCCAGGTGTTGTGGTAGCACCTGTAGTCCCAGCTACTTGGGAGGCTGAGGCAGGAGGGTTGGTTGAACCCAGAAGTTTGAGCCCAAGAGTTTGATATTGCTGTGAGCTAGGATTCCACTCTATTGAGGGCAACAAAACCAAGACCAAGACTCTGTCTCAAAAGAAAAAAGAAAGAAAATCTTGGAAAAGAAATGTGTGTGCAAAAATGGCACACACATCTTGACAATGCATCAGCTCACATAGCACTGTGAGGGAGTTGTTAGTAAACAAATAACTGTATTGCAAAACTCTCCCTATTCACCTGATCTGGCCCCCAATAACTTTTTTCTTTACCTGAAGATAAAGGAAAGTATTAAAAGAAAGACATTTTTATGACATTCAGGACATCAAGGGTAATATAACCACAGCTCTGATTGCCATTCCAGAAAGAGTTTCAAAACTGCTTTGAAGGGCGAACTAGGTGCTGACATTGGTGCCTAGCTTCCCAAGGGCAGCACTTCAAAGGTGACTATAGTGATATTCAACAAGGTATGTAGCACTTTTTCCAGCATGAATTTGTAAACTTAATTGTAAGACCTTGTATATACATAAATGTGTGTGTGTGTGTGTGTGTGTGTGTGTGTAAAACATCTGAGGCAAAAAGGGAAAAAGCAGGAATTGAAGATTTTTAAATGAAAGGGAAAGTCTTCTGGTCATCCAACTAGGAATTTCTATCAGTAGTCAACAACAAAAAGTAACTAGATATCACTAACGAGACATTCATGAGTTTTCATAAATAAAATACACACACTTTAACTTTTAAAATTCCATTTGCCTAGAAATATACATATTACCTACAGTACGGCAGAAAAACATTTCCTTTTACATATATTAACTTAAAACAAAGTTACCAACTTATGTGAGTTAATTAGAATTTTCAATCCTATTTAAAACCTGAGTACACAAAGGAAGATGAATCCAACAACAGATTAAAATGCAGATTTGATTAAAGATGAAAAAATATTTTCCAAATTATACTTGAACAGGCTTCAGTGAGTACTAAATGCTTCAAAGTATTTGAGAAAAGTTAGAAACTATAAAATAAAAATGTAAATGCTAAAATCTTTTCTATCACAGAGACTATAAATTGAGGTCATAGCAATAACATATTAATTCAGTTTATTCTTCTTTGAAGCTTTTTCTCCATTTTTGTTTTCAAACTATTCTTTGCTTAAAGTTATCATGATTTTACCCAATCATCGTGTCTTTCCCAAATATGAGCATTATCAAAACCAGAGTGACACTGGTGAAAGTCTATTGAGTTATTTTCCTATTTCTCTTCTCTCCATTTGCAGAGGAAATAAATATCTGAAGTTTTTAAAATTAGTTTTTTAATTTAAAAAGAAAGAAAAAGAAAATCCAGGAAATAAAGTTTGAGTTTATTAATAAAGACCCAACAAAAGAGGGCCTTAACAAATGCTCCCAGAAACTTACAATAAAGATCACAATGTAACTAGGAGATTCACACAACACATAAGGCTTTGAAAGGGACTCTTTTTGAAAATTATTCTTGAAGCCCAATTTCAAAAATCTTATCCATAAAAATATACCAGTTCTAGCATCTTCATTGACTTCAATATTTCAATCCATAATTACATCTGAGGTCTCATCTGCCAGCAGCAGAAATGAAAACATAAACCATTTTAATCTGAATGAGCAGAATTATTAGAAACTGTCAAATAGTTCATCAATTAAAACCACATAAAATATGCTCTGAATAGGATAAATTTGTAACCCTGAATTTCCTTAAAGGTATTAGCCAAAATAATGTCTGTTCAAATTTTATTTTCAAAAGGAAAAAACAGCTAAGATCATTTGATGCATAGTTCAGAAGAATTTTTTTGAAAGAACTTTCTAAAACAACTCTCCAGATTTCTTATCTGGTATATTTAAGACTAAAACAATTACAAACTCTATTCCAAACAGACTGACAGACTTAAACTGACTACACAGGAATTACCAAAGCAATACTGTATCACTGGGCAGAAAAAAAAATAAATTGTTAAAAAGACTGTGCACAGAAAATAATTCATGGTAGCAGCTACAATAAAGTGTAAGTACACAGAACTGCAACATACAAAACTACAAAAAAAAAAAAACAAGAATAAAAGACACTTGATATAGCAACAGTAGTTAATGTTTCAACTGTTTCAACTGCTACTAAATATCTGGTGAAATATCTTCACTTCTACCTATATGACATGGGGTATGGAGGATGAAGTTGGTAGGGAAGATTACCATCCACTGAAAACCAATTATCCAAATGAAATAATTTGCTTTCTACTTGCATATGAATGATACTATATAAATAAACACTAATGATTTATTAAAATCTTAACTTGTGCAGAAGTTAAAATAGCATCCATCTGCTGGGTTTCAGTATTTTTAATTCATGTTATAGATAGGAAAATCAGATAAGTTTGCAAATCTCAAAATATGCAATGTTCATTTCGAATGATTAGTAATCAGAGCCAGTAAAAAGCAAACTTTTGATAAAACTGGATCTTATCAGATGCACACAGTGAAAGTCTCAGTTTCACAGTGCAACAATTTTTACAAACACGAATTGCTACATGCCTGCACCAACTTTTACTCTCTTGTCAAAACTGTCATTTGTTACAATCCAAATAGTTCATTAAGAAATTAAAAATTATTTGAAAACCTATACTTTATCCATAGAACTCTCCAAAATATTGTCACATGAGTATTACAACCAGTAATTTCAAATATTACAAGAGTAGATCTTGCTCATAGGCACCATAATTGGCACATACCTAACTGCATAACCATTTCAATTTACTGCGACAATATCGTGTACTTTGAACATTTGAAGTGTAAAGGTATTTTCCCAACTTTTAATATTACTTCTTTAATCCCAAAGTTACACATACTGGCGTGAAAAAGAAAAAATAAAGTAACTTCTTTAAAAATCCAAAAACCTGAAGAAATTTCACAACTCCTACGATTTTCAAAGTAGTTCAAATTATCTCAAAGCCTCATCATATAACCAAATAGCTTAAGACACAACCTTCACGAACATAATCCTACCAATATAATTCAAGTATTACCTACTTATAATTTTCAAACCATAAAAAATTATGTTAACCTACTTAGAAAAAGATAATGCCAAATAATCAGACCCTCTCCTTTCATTCCACTCTCCCCAGTTTCCGACAGATAGTTGCCAAAAGTAACTACCTAGGGAGGATACAGCAGCACTCCTCAACTCCGAGGACCTAAATCGTTAACACGTCTGCGAAATAAGCAAGACCAAATAGTCAAAAGTAAGATCTCCTTTGCTCTAATACGTAAGGAATGCACATATAGTAAGACTCTAAATCTAAGACCATATTGCTGCACCTTTCCGTCGCATACAAATGCGGCTACCGTGCAAGGGTGTTCATGCCTACATTAAATGGTAGCGAGAGGCACAGACTCTTGTCTATCTGTCCCCTTTGACAAATGCCAAAATCATAACAAGAGCGAGAAATGGGGTCTGAGCACAGACAGCTCCTGCAGAGTTAAGGGTGAGATGCTACGGAGAGCTCAAAATCCCAGTGTGCACTCAAGCGGGGATGGGAGGACAACTCGGGCCTACCACTTCGGGTTCGCTCAACGCCTTTCCCCAGATACCCACACCAATTCTCAGAACGCTTACCTCCTCTCCAAGCTCCCTTCGCAAGCGCAATCCGGAGGTACCACCGCCGCCTCCGCTCCGAGGAGCGGGGGAGGCGACTCTCTGTCCCCGCGCCGGGCCCCGGGAGTACGACGACGAGAAGAAGGAGGAGCGCGCGCGGCTCCCGGGAACCGGCCCCCGGCTAGCGAGGAGCTCCCGGGGCAGCTGAGAAGCGGAACCCGCCCGCCTTTTCGCCAGGGTCAGGCGAGACTAAGACGTAGGAAGAAAAAGAACTAAGAGACTGGAGAATAAGAAAAGGTAAAGAAAACACTACCAGGCCGCTAGGAGGACAGGCTCAAAATGCCGCCGGAAGTCAGGGGCTTGCCCAGTTCCTCCGTAGACCGAGACAGCTTCCGGCGGCCAGATTAGTCGTCAGCGCGCAGGCACCGCCCCTTCTCAGGCACGCCCCCTTCCCGTAACGCCCACTCCGATGGGAGTGAGTGATCAGCAGTGAAAATCACCAAATCTGGGCATTCATTTCGAGACATCGCCGGAGAGTACGCTGGGACCCGGGGAACTGATGTTCCCAGTCAAAGGTGGATTTAAGAGAGTTTTATCTTTTTATTACATAATTTATTACAATAAACAGCCTGCTGCAGATGCGCAAAGTGCCACATGTATGTCGAAAATGACTGCCCCCATTCATTCATTTGCTCAACAGCGTTTATTGAGTAACTGAGCTGGAGTGAGAAGCAGTGTTTGTAGTTTTTGACACCCTTCCCCTTTGTCCACCGTCGCCTATTTCTGTAAAGCAAACGAAATGCACAGTCATGCTTTTAAAGGCGCAAGCAGAAATTTATTGAAAATTTGGAGCAGAAATCTTCAATGTACTCCACACCACCTTTCCTTTGGTTGCTTAGGAGCCAACA